TATCATCATATATATTAAAGACAATTTTCTCCTCTTGAGGACAAATTCAATAAACTTCAAATAAATTTCATGACATTCATCATAATATCAAAGATTAGGCATCCATAAATACATCATTTTGATCTCTCAGTAAATCAAAGCTCGGAAATGACCAAATGTCTCTAACTTAAAGAAGCAATGATTTGGCTTCATGAAGTCAACAATCAAGACATTTCCTCAACATGCAGGAACAAACGGACTTTTTATCACCTTTGAGGGTGTTTTTCTTGAAACAAAATTTTGTCTCGCTTAAGACATTTTCCATAATTTAAGAATTTTAAAACAAATTTTGTCTCGCTTGAGACAATTTCTTTCAAAACAAATTTGTCTCACTTGAGACATTTTCCTTTGAGATACAAAATTTGAATTTGTTTCACATTAAACAAGTTGATCTCATTTGAGATCGCTTTCTCTTAAAACAACTTATCCTTGCTTGAGACATTTTTTCCTTTGATATACAAATTTTGAATTTGATTCACTTGAAACAAAAATTAATCTCACTTGAGATTGTTATTTTTTCAAAACAAATTTCGTCTCGTTTGAGACATTTTTCCTTTGAGAATACAAATTTGTTTTCACATTAAACAAGTTGATCTCACTTGAGATCGTTTTCTCAAAAACAAACGTTGTCTCGCTTCAGACAATTCTCTAAAAAACATTTTTGTCTCGTTGAGACAATTCTCTAAAAACAAATGTTGTCTCACTTGAGACAATTTTCCAAATTATGAATTTGTTTCACTGGAAACAAACATCATCTTTGAGTCGTTTCTTTGAAACAAAGGATCTTTTGAGTCTATTCTTATGAAACAAACTTGTCTCTCTTGAGACAGATTTTATTGAAAAATCTATGAGTCTGTTTCACCTAAACAAAATGAAAAATCTTTGAGTATGTTTCTTTGATAACAAATTTTGTCTCTTTTGAGAAAGTTTCTTTTGAAAGAATCTTTGAGTATGTTTCTTTGGAAACAAAATTTTGTCACTTTTTGACAGTTCCTTTGAAGAAAATCTTTAAATCTGTTTTTGAAAACAAAGGTTTGTCTCTTTTAAGACAATTTCTCTTAAAACAAACATCTTGAGATTGTTTCCCTTGAACAAACCTATCTTGAGTTTGTTTCTCTTGAAACAAAAGTCTGTGAGTTGTTTCTTTGAAATAAAATCTGCGAGTTTGTTTCTTTTTTGAATAGAAATCTTTGAGTTGTTTCTTTTGAAAAAATTCTGAGTCTGTTTCTTTTGAACTAAAGTTTTTTTTCTCTTAAGACAATTTCGTGAAAAAATCTTGAGTCATTTCTTTTGAAACTAAAATCTTTGAGTTTGTTTCTTTTGAAACAAAGTTTTGTCTCTCTGAGACAATTTTTCTTGAGAAAAATCTTTGAGTCTGTTCCTTTTGAAAAATCTTTGAGATTGTGTCTCTTAACAAAATCTGTGATTCTATTTCTTTAAAACAAATTTTTGTCTCTTGAGACAATTTTTAATGAAAAACCAACCTTTGAGATTGTTTCTTTTAAAAAAAATCTTTGAGTTTGTTTCTTTTGAAACATCATATTTGAGTCTGTTTCTTTTGAAACATCATCTTTGAGTCAGTTTCTTTTGAAATCATTATCCCTATAGATGGCCAGAGCTCTTCATCACGTATGAGCCGTGTCATCCCCCGACCAGATCTCTTCATCACGTATGAGCCGTGTCACCCCTAGATAACCAGTCATCCTCATCGTGTAGGAACCGAGTTATCACCATTCCTAAAGATGGCCAGAACTTTTCATCACGTATGAGTCGTGTCATCCCCCGACCAGATCTATTCATCATATATGAGCCGTGTCACCCCTAGATAACCAGCCGTCCTCATCGCGTAGGAACCGAGTTATCACCATTCCTAAAGATGGCCAGAACTCTTCATCACGTATAAGTCGTGTCATACCCTGACTAGATTTCCTCATCACATAGGAATCGTGTCACCCTTAGACGACCCGAACTCTTCATCGCGTATGACCAGTGTCGTCCCCAACAACAAACCTTATCCAATTTCTAAGCATAAAAGGGAGAGAACCAGACAAAAACGTGTTGTCTTGTCGTCTTTGCCCTATTCTTGTTAACACAAGAATGTGCAAAGAGGGCCAGCTGTAGACACTCGTTTTTGTCCGGATCTTTTCTATTTTATTAATTATTATTATTATTATTATAATTACAATATACATATTTTTTGTGCAGGCCAAGTTCAAGCCCGACACAAGGCCCATCCCAAATAAAGCTCCAGCCCACCCAGACAAGCCTAACCCAGTGCACAACCTACACCGGTCCAACTAAACCTAACCCTAGGGTATCAACATCCAGCTGCGCCGCCGACTCTCAGCTTCCCTGGAGCATACACTACACTGCCTCACAAGGCCCAATCCCAAAATAAAGCTCCAGCCCAACCCAGACAAGCCTAACCCAGTGCACAACCTACACCGGTCCAACTAAACCCTAACCCTAGGGTATCAACATCCAGCTGCGCCGCCGACTCTTCAGCTTCCCTGGAGCATACACTACACTGCCTCACTCCTGAACCCGTGAACCACCGCCGTTTATTTCCCGAGCCACTACCAAGCTATCTCGAGCCTTGGCAAATGCATCCATCAATCACCAAACATCCAAGTCAGAGAAATAGAAAAATGAAACAAGGACAAGAGATTCCGAGGAAAATCGGGTCTACAAATCTAGGGCACTCAATCCCTATTTCCTCGGGCAACAAACAACTCTATCAATAACCATCACCAATCAGACGCAACGATAAATCAAGAGAGGTATTCGTGGGGTTAAAAAAATAGAGAACCCGAGAAAAAATAGAGGGAATCCAACTAAAACCCTTAATCTGATTAGAACCAAAACAAAAAAAGAGAACACAGAAAAGAAAGAAACAAAGAGGGAAGAGGGCTTACCATCGGATTCACTGAAGAGTCTAAAAGGTCGCCGGTTTCTGGGGTGTTTCGATGGTAAGGACTCTTTAGATCTAGGGCTTATGGGAGGTATTTAGGTTAAAGTGTGATGGGTTTTGGGTAGAGGAAGTTGAGAGGAATCTGTTAGGAGTTTCAGGGTCACTCCGATCACCGTAAACCGCCATGCGACACCGTGCGCCGCCGGGCGTCGGCCCCACCATAGGAACCCCGGCCACCGTGGCCATTCTCTTAGTTGAGAGAGTTATACTCTCTCTCTCTCTTCTCTCGTTTCAACAGAAAAAATGAGGGGAATGGGGAAATTTAGGCATGAATTTGTGTATAAATACCCAGGTCAAAACGCAGCTTTTTGCCTCCCATTTCACCGTGCATTTCAAGCATAAGGGTCTAATATCACTCTAGGTCTCTTCATATTTGTAACGTTTTGTTTTAGCCATTAAATGAAGATCTAATTAATTTTATTTTGAGCATTTATTTTTCATAAATTATATTTTAGTCATGTTATTGTATGTTATTTCATTATTATGAATATTTGATTTTGGTTCCAACGTTTATAAATGTTACATTCTAGACACTATTTAATGTTTTGTATATTTTCTTTGATATTCGAATTTGGTTTTGATAGTTATAAATATTTTATTTTAGTCACTGTTTTTTATTTGGTTTAATTATTGTTTAGCCCTTTATCTTTCTGTTGATTTTATTTCAAGCCTTATTTTTTAGTTATGGGTTTATTATATTTATAGTACCTATGTTATTTAAGATTTTTGATATGGACTCTGATTTATTTGAAATTACTATTCTAGTTCTTTAATTTCTATTTCTTCCATTTTAGACCCTTTAGTTTATGTTTTTACTGCTTTAGCCATTTTAGTTTATGTTTTGGCCATATTAGTCCTTTAAATTTTTGATTTTACTATTTTGGTCCTTTGAGTTTATGTTTGTTATGTTGGTCCTTTATAATTACAAATACTTACTTTCTGATCATTTTATCTTGGTTTGTAATATTTACTTTTTTAGTCATTTATGTATGAATTTGTTGTACTTATTTGGTTATTTGCATTATGTAAATAATGTTATTAGTTTCATTTAATGTAATATTTTATTTCGTATATTTATTTATATTTATTTCCATTGTATTTCTATACCGTATATTATTCGAATAACGTGATGCAAGTTATTTTATTTCACGCAAGTGTTTATTTTCAATTTATATTACATTCGTATTTTATTGAAGAGAGAATATCATTTACGGATAAAAAATAGTCGAAATAGCTTTCCCAACGAAAGATTGCTAATTTCGAGATTTCTTTTCAAGTTAAAAAAATTTCTCTAATTAATTGACGCGAAGCAAATTAATTAATTTTAATAAATAGATCACATTTTAATTTTATATTCGAATAATATTTCCCACCATTACGACGTGTAAACGATACAGTACCAATTTTTGGGCGTTGTGAAGTGTTAATTCTTTCCCACACGTAATCGACTCTCGAACCCTTTAAAATGAACCTCTGGTAACGCAGACCAATTTTATCTTATAAAAATATTTTTTCTTAAAATTATTTTTAAAGAAGATTTTAGGTATTCGACATATCTAACCCAAAGGCCGATGGCGATTCTATTCAATTTAATTCAAATTAATCCAAAATCGCCCAATTTTTAAAATAAAAGTCATAATCGTTTTTTAAAATAATTTTTAATTGTTTTACCTAAAAACAGTTATGACAACTGGTATTTAGATAAACATGGCAGTAAGCATTACAGCAGCTTTACGCATATGGCATACTAGTAACCGACCAAAACACACCGCTGCGGCGATAAATACATCACAAATGCTGTTAGCAACGCTCCTTTGCTTCTCAGAGCTGCTCATTTCGAGTCCTCGGGGCCCTGTGAAGGATGAATCTCATCTGGAACAGATGCATTACGCAGCACTCTCCCCATCTGAATCGAAACCGAAGGGCTCTGCTCGGGTTTTGTTTCAGCTGCAGTCTGAGTGGAGCTTTTAAGCCTTTCTTTTTCTTCGCCTTCTGTGCCTAACCAACGTGACCTACTTGCACATGCTCATCAAATATAGCCTTCTTGAACGAGCTTCCCATCTTCAATTCGGTAGAGAAAGGACATGTAAATCGTAGTTCCGGATATGGAATTGAATTTTATAGTTAAAGCAACTCAACTTACCTGTGTGACAATAGCATAAGTGGCAAGGTGCTATAACTGCAGACTACCTGAATGAAAACCCTGAAGAAACCAACAGAAGAATAAATGCCGGAAACTTACCGGAAGACGAAAATTTTAAAAATGAACCAGCATCACACAGCTACGTAAACCAAATGGTCATTGATTATTTACCCTATACTGAGCCTGGAATGATATAACGAACTTAAACCCATTATGCAGGAATCAAAGCATATTGAACCTACAGATGATGAAGAAAGTGTTATTATGTCATCCAGTTTTTATGTTGTTCATATGGCAAAATAGTAAACTAAAATATAGGCTTACCCAAATCCAAAAGAAAAATGCAATCTCGAAAGCATTTTGGAAGAGGATAAAATGGATCAAGAAGAGGACAATACGAGGCCGCACTACAGCAAAACAGACTTTTAGCGGCGTTTTTAAGCACCACTAAAAGCACTTGCAGCGCTAGTAAAAACGCCGCAAGAAGCGTCGGCCATACCAGCGCCGCTAAAGTTAGCGGTGTTTGAGAACAAAAACGCCGCAATAGGTCAAGATCTATCGCGGCGTTTTTGGAACAAACGTCGCAAAATGTCAGATCTATAGCGGTGTTTTTTTGTCTCAACGCCGCAAAAGGGCTCATGATAGGAAAAAAAAGAACCATTAATATAGAAGAATAGATGACAAAACATTTCTGATTCTAACACTGCATTCAAAATAACTGTTCAAATCAGAAAATCAGAAATGATAAGTAATTCATGTCAAGCTTTTATAGGCTTCAATAATAAATTATAAGGAAATTAGGAATATTTACAGTGGGTATTCCATGGAAAATATTGTATCATACAACAAGAATAAAAGAGAAGCAGAAACTATTCACCAATTTCTGCACTTCTGCTACAGGGTCATTAGCAAGGGCTCACAAACCATGAAGGTATTTATCCATGGATGTATATAAGGCCTGAAAGAAAAAACAATATAGACCTTATAATAAATGTAAATATCTTCTCGGAAGAAAGCTGTTACAAACAATATATAGACCTAGCCAAAAACAAGAGACAAGAATCTCTTATCAACAAAGAAAAAGGTGAGGAGGAAATTAGGTAAATGTTAATCACCAAAGATGTTCTCACTTGGTGAAGATTAAAATCAGAGTGCAAACAAGAAAGTTGCAGCCCATGAGGTATCAAACAACCAGCACTTCAAGAAAAGTAAAAAGTTAATCCTCAACGAAAATTTCTACTGAAATTCCTATTTATACTATAAACATGGAACAAAAACAAAAACAAGAAGAAAGTAATAGAACACATGTTGATTAGTGTGTGATCGATCAATTTCAGATGCAAATTAAACAAATTTCAAGATCTAACAAGTTTCAGTCTGTTCCAATATCTTATAGGTAATCTAAAAAGTATAAAAACCAATGAAATGATAAGCAATTGCAACAAAGGGCATTTAAATAAATTGATAAACAATAAATCAGTTGCATCAAATTAGTAGACAGAAATATAGACAAATATTTAAAAACGATTAAAGAGTCAATGTCGGATATCAATATAGATTCCAGATGGGCTGACAAATATGTTTCGACAACGAATAAAATAAAGTGTATCAGAAGTAGAAAATAATTTATCAAATTCTGAATGAATATCTATATTTAACAAGTTCCAGTATGTTCCAATATCCTTATAACCATTATAGGTAATCCAAAATTCAAAAAACAATGGATTGATAAACAACAAACCAGTTGCATCAATTAGTAGCCAAAAGATTAAAGAGTCAACGTCGGACATCAACTTAGATTCTAGATGAGCTGCTAAATATGTTTTGACAACAAATAAAATAAAGGCTATTGTAAGTAGAAAAAGATTTATCAAATCATGAATGGATATATGTATTTACAGAAAAGATCATACTGAAAACTAAGATTTATCCCTTAAAAAGCTCACATGGACATCGCAAATTGAAACAAAAAAATGCAGGAACAAAAATTAACGGAACTAGACAACTTAGTTCTTCTACTTATACAGTGGATTAATATGATTAATAAATTTATGGATTTTAATTTTCTATTGTACTAATCTTTTATGCAAAAGACTGAAAATGGTCTTAACCAAATGAAAACTACCAACACAAAAGATTAAAGCATCACAAAAAAATGCTAGAACAGACTACAATTATGGATGTTACTCTCAATCAACAATAAATAGGAACTTACTAATTTCAATGTAAAATGGATGCTACTCTGACATAGAAAACTCTTACATCGAACCATTGGTAACAATCCTTAGAGAATGACTTGTAAGGAGAGTGCCTGTAACCATGTGGCCATACTAGTCGGTCCATTTCCATTTGAGGATTCATAAAACCCTCTCCATAAGTATAGAGAAATTAGTACTCCTTGGTGAAAACCCTCCCACCTGACTGAGTAGTACTTGCTAAAGTCCATACAAAAAAAACATTCGGCATACAAAAAAAACCTGCAGGAATGAGGACAAGGTGAAACCAAATTAATTTCATGCAATTGACAATAACAAACCCAGAAACAACATAAAACCATAAAAGAGAGGGGTGGAGGTGATTTTCCATTGAAAACCGCTCAATCAAAGTCAGAAAATAAAAATTTGAATGTAAAAACAGACATGAAACCTCTCAAGAAGGAAATAGAGCAGAAAACGTTGAAACCTTGAAGTTACAAAGAACAACAGATGAATTATGTATTTTTCTGTAGCATGAACAGAGAAAAAAACATCAATTCAAGCAGTGGCAGAGGCAATATAAGGGTAACTCTCACCAAACTAAAGTAGAAGCAAGAAGAGATAAGATGGGTAAATAAGGAGAAAAATCCAAAGTTCCAGTGTTTAAAGCCTAAAAAAAGAATACTAACATAAACAGCAAAATGAAAGACAACCTTAAAATTCCAATCCCAAAATTAAACAAAAACAGAATCCAAATCAGTGGCACCAGAGGAATCAACTAAGCAATACAAAAAAGGAATCATCTTTGGCCCTTGTTTATCAGTGTGGATTAGAGTTCAATGAAGATTAGTAAAAGGGTAAACGAAATTTATAGCAGAGAAAAAAGCAAGAATACCAATTCCCCACAGATTCAAACAAACAAATTTTCTGAGGCACGACACGTCACGTTCAGCAGAGAAAATGGGGTAAACTGAACAGAATCCCAAAATTCGAATCTTAAATGGTTTGAAAACTCGAAGAACAATGAATGATGATCCGAACCCAGAAAAAAAGACCCAGCTTTATCTTAAACTTCAAAAGCTTAAAATCATTACATTTTTTCATAAAACTAATCAGAGCCTGAACTCAACCCGGGAAATAAAAACCTGACTGGAGACAAACTCACCTCAAATATCTAACGTCCTCTCAATCTTCTTTGTGGTGCACGAACGCTAACCGAAAATAATCAAATCTGGCGTCTTGATGATTCACGATTCCCTTCTCCTTAAATAAAGAGAAAATCGTCTAAGTGACAAAAAATGTCTTATAATATACGATTTTATTCAATTTTTTTGGATTTATCAAAATGACCAACAAAATCGCAATGCGATCGCTAATTCGTAACGCGATCTCTATTATCGTAAATTCGCGTTGCGATAGTTGGAAATCGCGTTGCGATAGTCTACAGTGTCGTTGCGATTTTTCCAATTCGCAATGCGAATAAGTAAATCGCAACGCGAATTGGGAAAATCGCAATGCGATACTGACTATCGCAATGCGATAATATAAAATCGCAACGAGATATTGACTTTCGCAACGCGATTCTGACTTTCGCAACGCGATTTACATAGCGTCATTCGTATTAACGCGTATTTTTTTTTTCAAATTCCAAACACGAATTTTTTCTTAATAAATCGGAAACTGAACGTCCCACAGTAATCGCAACTCATAACCTCAAACCCAAAATCACAACACTCAGTCTCATCTCCATCTCTCACTCTCTACGGCGAAATCCGTCCCCATCTCGAAGATTTCCGTCCCCATCGCCGACGAAATCCCTCACAAACCATTCACAGTTAAAAATCCTCACAATCATTCAGAAATGGAAAATAAACTACGAGGGTTAGTTTGTTTTATTTTTATTTTGAAATTTTTGCATTTTAGGTTTTTCATATTGAGATTGATGATAAGTTTACTGGTAATTCAATAATAGATTAATCATTTCCACTAGATTTCTTTAAATTCATTCGATTGCTGCCAATACTGCTAAACTGTTTAGCCTGTGAAGTTAGTATTTGTCTTTGTTTTGTCTTTTGGTTTAAGTAATGCAGAAGAAGAATAGTTTCGAGAATGAAAATCGCAACGCGGAAATAACTATCGCAACGCGAAATAAAAATCGCAACGCGAAACCAAATCGCATTGCGATTTTCATTTCGCGTTGCGATTTCTCTCGTTGCGATAGTCATTTCGCGTTGCGATTCTCTCGTTGCGATAGTCATTTCCGAACCAAAAGACAAAACAATGTTGCAAATTTTAGTTTCAAGAATAACTACTTTATGTTTATTGTTTTTGGTATATCTTGACAGTGTAGTTTTGGTATATCTAACTTGGTATGTGTTTATTGTTTTTGTAGAAATATTTTTCGGCTTCATTGACATTAAGGAATAAAGTTAGCCTAGCCATACAATTGCTTCGAAACTTTCACTGCACAAAGAAAATTGTTGAGGAAACCTGCTTCGGGCCATGGCTGAGAGTACAGCATCCGGGTGGTGGAGATGCTAATTTGACCCATTTATGGCTTCAGACCATGACTAGAGATCTACCCGACAGTATACAACATGGTGAGGAAGAGATATGGTTTCATTTTCCACCGGCGTATACTTGTTTTGGGCGGAAGGAGTTCTGATTAATCACTGGTCTACGATTCGGACACGATGATGTAGGCCGGTACACTCGTCATATCACCCGCCCATCATGGTTATCCAGGGTTTTTCCTGATGAGTCAATAGAGAAGCTGAACTTACACGTCGACGACATGAAGAAATTGTTTAATAAGAAAGATGGTTTTACTCGGATGAATGACGTCGATGTTGTCCGAGTATGCCTTCTACTACTTTTGTATGCCGGCTTTTTAGGCAGAGAGGCCAAACAACCTATTCCTCAGGAGCTAATATTATTGGTAGATGACCTAAATGCATGGAATCTGTTTCCGTGGGGTTCGTATATATGGAAAGCTACCTGGACTAAGTTGTCGTCTGCCTTTGATGACCGTAAAAGTTTGCGGGGCGATGGGTCGAAATACACTTTGTCAGGCTTTGTTTGGGCCTTTAAGGTAAGAATTTCTATATAATATTTTCAAAATTATAATTAATTATTTAACAATTACTAATGTTTGTTATTATATTGTTTGTAGATTTGGATATTCGAGGCCTTTCCCGCCATGAAGACATATG